GTTTTAGTACAGCAACAGAAATTGAACTAACATAGCCTTTAAGTTGCTTTTGGTCAAAGTGTTTTATCACATTAATAGAAAGCAAACCTGGTCAAAGTGTTAACATCTAAAATACATTTGGGACCCAATGACAACAAAAATAAAATCTGGTTTTGAGATAAGCCAATAACCTAAATAAACTCCTCTACAGAGAAGCTGTGTCCATAAGCAGAGCACACCAGAAGAGGCTGATATTGGTGGTCATGGGGAAGAACAGATGTAAGTTACAGTGACATATCACCTCACACCTGCTAGGACGGCCAGTACGTAAAAGCAAACACAAGCAAAACCAGAAAATATATGGTACTGGAGATAATATTATGAAGAAATTAAATTGTAAGAGCCAGAGCACCCAGAAGTCCACCGTGAGACTGTGTCTGGGAGCAACAGGAACGCTTCACCCATGATACCACAACAATACAGCTGTCTAGAGCTGACCTGACGAAGCACACCAGCCTCCCTGGATACGTTAACATGGAAGGGAAAATCCCATGGGCCCCCACCCATAGACAAAGAGCTGCAGTCAACTAAAGACTCCCAAAAGAGAGAGAACTAGTCTCCCTCAGGGGTGAGGCCCCTGATTGATTATGCAATACCAATTGCTCAACCTTGAAATCATAGACACACAGCAGCAACACTAAACGGGCTGAGCAGGTTACATTTCTGTATGTATGTATGTATGTATGTGTATGTATGTATGTGTATGTATGTATGTGTATGTATGTATGTATGTCTAGACTGCAATGATAATCAAAGAAAATAATTTTTTTAAATGGAGCCATGAGTTTGAGAGGGAGTGACAGGAAGACTGGGTAGGGATTGGAGGCGACTTTTGAAGGATCAGAGGAAGAAAGGGAAAGAGGTAAATGATGTAAATATATTTTTATTAATTATTTAATATAAAAAGGGGGAAAATAAACTGCAACAGTTAGGGTTATGTAGAGTGACTGTCTCAAAAACAAAAAAAGCAAAAAAACCTTAAAACAAAACCACCGTAAGACCCAGTAAGCCCACTTCTGAGTATTTAGCTGAGAGAAAGAATAACACCCTATAGGCACACATTTTTCACAACCTACTTCAATAAAGGTTCAACCTCCTCTCTAGCCCACTGCCCACCAGAGGTAGTGGAAAAGAAACGTTATTAGGATACCTGGGAAGTGGAACTCTTTAGAAATAGTTCTTTGGGACAATTCCAATCTTCATTGTTCTCAGTCTAGTCCACTAGCAGACACCAAACATGAATCAGCAGCTACAGTCCAGTCCATTTGGCAGACACCACACACAAATCAGCAGCTGCAGTTCAATCCAGAAGAAACCTCTAGGCTCGTCAATCAGCCCGAATCCAAAAAACTGGCAAGAAGCTACAGGAACCTCACAAGAAGTTCTTTGTCAAGTTTCTATGAAGCCACCACAAGTGGAACTCAGCAACACAATGTAAGGCGAACCAATACATGTGTGTCATCAGCGAAGACTAGTGAGGCAGAGCAAAGCGAACCAATACTCAAGCTCCCACTGTCTGTGGGGTCATATTTATATTCCTTCTAAGCAACACACATTGTTTCAAGTGTTTCTATAGCAAACCATCCTTTCACCTGTGTCTGTGTCAGAAAAACATTCTTTCACCAGTCTGCCCCAGCAAAACACCGTTATAATCTGAGTCTACAAAGAAACCAGAATTTTCACTTTAACACCCTCGTCATATGTTACACCCCTGAATTGATAGCAGCATAGCTCATAATAGCCACCAAGTGGAAACAACTGAAATATCCACTGATAGATAAATGGATAAAGAAATCAGTACACAGATAAAGTGGAATATTAGCCTGTCAGATGCCACTTCATGAGTGAACATAGAAAGAATTATGCTGAGGGAAATTAGCCAGTCATCCACACAATTGACTTTGTCTGAAGCATGAAAATGGCCAAATTTATCAAAACAGAAGTTGGAGTGGTGCCTGCTGGAGGGTGAGCTAAGGAAACAGGAAGATGATGTTTGGAGGATGTGGAATTCCAGGCACGACGCCAACATTCTACAGATGCATCTGTGGCAAGGTGCATAGCATTGAGCTAAACTCTTAACCGTGGCTAAGAGGAGAGCTTTGATGCTGTGGCTCTCACCATGGTGGGGTGACAAGCCGACATTCTTAAACAGAAAACAACCTGTTGCAGCGGCGTGACCTTAATTGTCAATCTGACTAGATTTAGAATCGTCTAGAAGACAGTGAGGCACTGTGTGTGTCTGAGAGAATAAATGGATAACAGGTTAACACTGGACGACACTGGAGTTCTCCTTTCTCTGCTTCCTGATGCGAAGCCATGACATGATGCCTTGTGCCCTTGTGCCCTTGCTGCCATGATGGACTGTGGGTCAACGCATTTGTCAGGACGCTGGCGGCGACCACAGGGTCCCCGGAGCAGAGATGCCGGGCACTCGGGACACAGTGCAGGCCAGGGTCCACGCCAAGGTGGTGCACGGGCCACTGTTTTCAGGAGAAAATGTCCCGTGGCCCGCTAGAGTGTAGAGAACACAGGGGCGGACAGGGGCGCGTGCGAGTCTTGACTTACACAAAGAGTCCAGAGTTCAAAGAGACACGTGGAGCTGAAGACATACAGATTTATTGGCATGGCGGTGGGTTCGGATGGTGACAAGCTCTCCTAAAAAATGCCAAGAGAAGTCTCCTTATATTAGAAGCGGGAGAGGGGCGGGGCCAGAGCCTTTAGGTAAATCTTGAGGCAGAGACCTGTTAGTCTCGGGTCTTACATGACCTAGCAAGGGGGCTGTATGTTAGGTCTCTGGGTTCTGGGGGTGTGGCCAAACACCCAGGATTCAACAGCCCCACAATGGACCACATCCTACTAAATCTGGAGCCAAAGTAAACCTTTCCTCCTTCGATTGGTGTGTAGGGTGATTTGGTCATAGTGAAGAAAAGGCAGTTAATACAACTGGTCATCCAGCTAAAGCAAATAAATCAATGAATACCTGTCATTGCCAGTCTACCAGATATGGGTAGGAGCCAATGCTCTCTCTGAATCTGACAAAAATCTAAATAGATAAGAATGAAGGAAAATAGGAACTCACACTTGCTAGTACAATTGGTGTTTAAGCCAGTTTGACATCTCATAACAATTATTTACACAGAATTAACTAGCAGAGTTAAATACATTCAAGCCACAGCTTGACCTCTAACGGGTCCATGGGGGTGGCCTTCGAATCCGTACAAAGACACCGTCTCTGGCTTTTGCAATCCAACATATCGGGACCCATAGGAACATAAGAGATCTGCAGGACTCCTGTGAGGTTCTACAATTAAGCTCATTCCACCAGTCATAGCCTAGGCAGAGGAGACACATGCCTCTGCCACAGCTGGCCAACTCAGGCATGCAGAAAAAGAAGATGGATTGATCCTGCCCTGAGAAGCCACACTGATATATCAGCTCAATCCCTTTTCCTTCTCTGAGGTTGAAACAGACATCATTTTCCTTCTGAGTAAACAGAGCGAGGAGAAGCTCTCCCCTGACACTAGAGACGCCATGCTTGACATCCAAAACCTGGTGGGGGGGATGTAAAAATCCTCATCTTGTAGCATCAACAAAGACAGAAGTGTCAGGTGACATGTCGCTATCCCATGATCAGAACATAATAGAGCAAGGTCTTGATTATTTTTAATCCAGAAGGCATATTTCAGGGAGAGGAGTTGTTGGGTTTTATGTTGGATCTTAAAGTGGTGTCCCATGTAGTCTAGGCTGGTCTTGAAATTGCTTACCTAGCTAAGGCTGACCTTGAACTCCTGATTCTTCTGCCTCCACCAGGGATAACAGGTGTGCGCCATCATGCCTGACTACAGAGCATAGCGTTTCACTGACTTCCCATCCTGTCTCTCAAGACCATGGAACACATCTTCCCGGGAACAGGGGATGCGGGGGTCTGTGAGGCTGAGGAGAGAGCAGCAGCAGATAACAGCAGAGCCATTAGGGAGGGTAAACAAGATGTCTCTGGGAGAAACTGAAGACTCCATCAATGTTTCAAAGCAGACAGAGAGCAGGGCAGGGAAAAGAAAGAGAGAAAGAGCAGCCAGGGGCAACCAGGGAGAGAAAAGAAGTCCTACACAGATGAGAGAGACCAGCCATGTCCACATTGGCAAGGTGCTCTGGCAACCAGCATCCAGGAAGAGTCACAGGAGTTTCACAGCAGGGCACCATGAGGAAATGATGTAGGAAAAATTCAAATCCCATTTCAAAATATATCTGTATGGGACCAGTTAATGCAGGACTCTTTCATTGTAGAACACAAGCAATAGAAAACATTCCATGGTGGAACAAAGATTGGATGTCATAAGAACAAGTAAAAAAAAAATTATAATTACTTTGAAGTTATTTTGATATCTATTAAACTTCTTACTGGAACAAGATGTTTTTAAAATGTGCTATTAGTCTGTGTCCCTAATCACACGACCCCACGGACTGGGTGAGTGGTGGAGGATGTGGGTATATTGTGGTTCACGGTTCTGGGGAGGTGATGGGGTGCAGTAACTGAGCCTGGTGATGCCCTCCTTGTTGGCACAGAGAAGTTAAGCAGCTTGGTAGAGTCGCACAGCTGACAAGCGGAGGAGGGCATTGAGCCTGAGTCGTGAACGCCCACCCCTCTGGCTGCAAAACGCTTGCCATCCTGCGGAAAACCAAGACATCCAGTGGCACGCGTGGACTCTGAGCTCAGTAGCGGTGGTGAGCGCAGCCGAGAAGACTGGTCTTGGCCAAGAAGACTGGTCTTGCAGCAGACGTCGCTTCTTACCGGAGTATAAGGCATTACGGGGACCCTGGCCCCTGGCTGATCGAGACCCCCACCCGAAAATCCTACCGCGGGGAGAAGGGGTTCCGACGCACGCTCTGCCGCAGGGGGGCGCCCCTGGCTGGCCGCTGCTTGGCGAGTGGTCCCCGCCACAGGGCGCATCGCCTTCAAGAAGATGTCGCTGTCCGGCGGGGAGCGCCCTGCTTGGCCAGGGACTCGCCTGTCCTGGCTGCTATGCTGCAGCGCCCTGTTGTCCCCAGCCGCCGGCTACGTGATTGTGAGCTCGGTGTCCTGGGCTGTCACCAACGAGGTAGACGAGGAGCTGGACAGCGCGTCCACCGAGGAGGCGCTGCCCGCGCTGCTGGAGGACTCGAGCAGCATCTGGCAGCAGAGCTTCCCGGCCTCGGCGCACAAGGAGGACACGCACCTGCGGCCTCGGGGCTCCGCCCGTGCCAGGCCCGCACCGGCCGCGCGTGGCATGTTTTCCTACAGGAGAGAGAGCGGCTCATCCGAGGCATCCTCCGGCCCCAGGGTACATGCCGGCACCGCCCGCTCCCTAGCCCATGCTAGTTCCTGGGGCTGTCTGGCCACAGTGTCCACCCACGAAAAGGTAAGCCAGAGGTCGGGACGCGGGGGGCGGTGCGCGACTCCCTTGCGGGATGTAGAGCGACTCGGGTTTCTCAGGTTCATAGGCTGTAGATGCTCTGTGAATAACGGAACCGGAGTATGCATGGGTCAGTCCATCTGGCTAAGTGCATGTGAGTGGGGAGGAAGGCGACGCTAGGAAACAGCCTGGTGGTTAGTGACTGAATCCCTGTGTTAAGATGGCCAAAGAGATGATCAGATAAACGACCACAATCTGGAAACCTGGAACGCAGACAGGATCGCCTTTGGAATCACAGATGAGACACATCCAGCTCCTGCAGGCTGTCCTGCAGACAGACTCTGGCACCGCCTCCCACACCAAGTGGGTGTGGAAGAACACCATCTACACACCAGTAGACATTTACACTTTAAAAAAAAAAATGGAACTCAGATGTTTTAGAAAGACGACTTAGGCAAAGGGTAGAGGTTTCGGCTGCAATTCGTCTCTTTCGATCCACGAAACTGTATTCACATTTTAACCTGCTTCCATCCAGAATGACATGGAGAGGTGCTGAGGCTTTGTGTTCCATAAGAATAGCCTCCAGAAAGCTTCTAGTCCTGTCTGGTAAACAGAGATGTGGTCCTAACTCCTGTTTAATGTGTACACAGAAGGTCTAACACCTTTGTTATATATCACACCATGTGCAAGTCTGGTTCTTGCCACAGCTCTGGGTCTCACTAACCCTAGCTCAGCTTAAACATCCTGCTTTCCCATCTACAATATTAAGAAATTCGGTGGGCAGAGCTTGAAAGGTTTTTTTTTTTTCTTAAAAAAAAAATCCTAATAAAGGCAATGATCTTGTCCTCTTTCTATGTCAGAATCTAAGCCAGTTCTGTATTCCCAGGGTTCAAATAGGTTTTTGTTATATGTCGAACATATACTTTAATAGAATACAGACTTTAAATATGAAGCTAATCTTGGTTTACAACCAATCATTTCAGACAATTAAAAAGCTACAGCCTGAAGCTAGGGGAAGCGGCTCAGCTGCAGAATGATTGAGAATCTGTGTTAGTCAATCTCCGGAACCCATGTTCTTTTGTTTGTTTGCTTGTTTGCTTTTGTAAAGTGCCGGGCAGGGTGACATTAATACGTAATCACAGTGCTGAGTCAGTTGAGACAGGTGAACCTTTAGGGCTTGCTGGCAAGCTAGCCTAGTCTACTTCAGGAGTCCCAAGCCAGTGAGAGAGTCTTTCTTAAAAATACAACAGTCCTGGACTCCGAGGAAAGATACCGGGAGGCCGGGGGCTTGACCTCTGACCTCCACGAATGCACACTATGCACAAGCACCACACACTCAGGCACACACAAAACAAAGAAGCCTGGTGCCAGTCAGGCTTGGTAGCCCATGCCTACAGTCCCAACCCTAACACAGCTAAGGCAGAAGAACTGTAAGTTCAGAGCCAACTCTGGATATGTATCTAGGCCCTGCCTCACAGAAACAGGTACAGCCGAAGAAAAAGCATCCACGGTCCTCGCGTTGCCCTTTTGTTGACTTCCTTAGGCCTTCCCCTTCCACTGATGACTTTGAATCCAAACAGTCAATTTGAAGAACATTTATTTGCATGAGCTGCTGAGCCTGGAAATAGAATCTGTGCGTGATGTTTCATATTTCTAAATTACTAAGGCCCTTCCTTTTAGAATCTTGCCCACCATGTCGGGTGCTCAGAATATAATGGTGGCTTCACTAACAGGAAGGTTCTTTGTAAGGGACAAAGCAGGGTGGGGGAAAGCTAAGACTTAAACACTTTTGTTAACATCACATAAGCATGGCATGGGACCTTCCCTCATGGCAGGTGAGCACAGACAAAGATCAGTATACTACATGTCTGTGACTTCCATTTATGCTAAGATGAAAGTCACAGACATTTATGCTAAGATGGTATCTAACATATCAATTTCCCATAACTTGTTCAGTTATATAAAGAAAAGTTATCAATCATAATATAACATACAACTGATAGCTGAAGAAATGTTGCCCCGACTGAAACAATTTAAATATTCTTGTCATTCCAAAGGCCAATCAGTTTGTTAAAATTAATTAAATTCTATCCCCCAAAGTTTACAAAGGATCAAGGGGACATGGTGGTTATTTAGGAGGAGCTTCTGGGAAAGACTGCACACTGTCTTCATCCCCAGGAGCCTGGTAGTCCTCTCCCATCAAAATAAAAATAAAAATAAAAAAGACTGCATTCACTGTGTGAAGTCAGCGTCCAGAATAACCCTTTAGCTTCCAGACAGAATGCATTTCTCTGCATTCCACCCAGAGAAATTCTGAAACTGTCACTGGATGAGTTGCTTAGATTGGGACCGTGAAATCTGCCGCAGCACAGAAGTGGTCCAAGCAAGGTCCCAGCGGGAAACATCAAGTTTGCTCCCAGCTTGTTACTCGTAGCTGTGCCACCACAAAGCCTTTTTGTCTTTGTTATTGTTGTCTTTGTTAGATCCGAGGACTGCCCTTTGGGAGCTGTCTGGCCATCAGTGATGGCCCCGTCCACAACAGCACAGGGATCCCTTTCTTCTACATGACAGCCAAGGACCCTGCGGTGGCTGACCTGATGAAGAACCCCACAGCCTCGCTGATGCTGCCGGAGTCTGAGGGAGAGTTTTGCAGGTAGAGGAGGGAGGGTTTGTTCTTAGGGGTTTGGGCAGAGGTGGAAGGTGGGTTGTATGGCTGTTGTCACAGGCCCTTAGATGTAAATTGACATCCTTCTTCTTAGAGTTCTCCTGCAGACCAAGCAATGTGATTTGGAGCAAGCTACCTGACATGTATTTATCTGTAAAATGGGAGGGTGCATGGGTTTTGACTTTCATTGGGGTGATATAACCAGTGAGCCTATTATAAATAGAAATTGTGTCCATTGGAATGTGCTGGCTACACTAAGCCTAGCACACATCTCTGCTCAGCCTGGCCCACCTTAGCGTCCCTCAAAGCGCCAACACTGACCTCAGGTGGACCAAGCCTTCTAACAAAAAGCTTATATGATAATAAGAGTTTGACAGTGCATTTGTTGAATCCTAAACTCAAAGGGAAAACACAGAGGCCTTTTCTGTACCCACAGCACAGCCTGGAAAAAGAGCAAATTTCACAGTGCACGGTTTGCTGAACGTATATTGCTTTGATACTGGCATAAAGATGAAAATATAGAAGCTGAACAGTCACAAGTTGGTATGCATAATCATTTCTACCCTATAGAGTGTTAACAAGCCTTAGACAAGGTGCCTTCTGTGAGACAAATCTTGAAACCGTTTTTCATGGAACCCAGGCTAGCCTTGAACCTAATCTGTAGCCAAGGATATACCACATTGGTTAATGCCACACTAGGGGATTGAACTCAGGGCCTTATGGATACTAGATGAGCATTCTACCATCTAAGGTATGTCCCCAGCCCAAGGTGTCGCATCTGACATCCAGGTGGGCAGGTGGTACCTCTAGTACTATCAAGGGCACAGTGGGCTGGGGGCTGGAAGGAGACACAGTAGTTTGTCTCCCTGGAATGTTCGTGCTGGAGCCTATTGTTTTTTCAATCCATTTACAGACTCTCTGTCCCCAAGGGATGCGTGTGATTCAAGCCAGCATCCTTTAATGCAGTTTCTCAAAAACTCTCTCGAAGAAAAGACTTCTAAAGACATTTAAGCAAAAAATAGAGCATCCATTCATTCCGATTCTGTCATCTAAATTCAAGATGCAAACCCCAAAATCACTTGCTGCCAGGGAGACACTGCACTGAGCTTCTATGGCAGTCCTCTCCTGGATTAATCTCCCAGAGATTAACAATTTTCACAGGGTGCCCTGGAGGGAAGGGCAGAATATGCATGGGTATCTCCCATCTCATCTGCAGACAGAGGTGTCCCGGCTCGAGCTTCTGCTCCAGTCCACAGATCAGGGTCTAGCAAGAGAGAGAGTGGGGATGGAGGGGCGAGAGACGCCAAGAATGGAGACAAGACAGAGGGTCTGATAAAGTCGTGTTTATTGAAAGGAAATCCTGGGTATTTATATGCTTTACCATGTGCCTTGCCCTCGTGGACAAGCAGGGGAACACAGCTGCAGGCACTACGTCACGTGCCTTGCAGCATGGATACCATGTGGGCCTTGCAGCTGGGGGCACTAAACAGCAAAACATGATATGTGAGAAAAACAAGATGTTTATCAGAGTGTGCTGAGCTGTTGTGGGCTGTTAAAAACAAGTCTCTTGTCAGGGTATATGGTTCGAAATGGCTGCAAAGATGATAGCCGCTTTCTGCTAGGAGTCGGCTCCCAACATGGAGGTGATTGAGAGCAGGGACTGGCTTCTTCCCACTTCTGAAGCTCTGCCCTCAATGCACAGCATAGAAAACAAGCAGCCATCCTGTTTGCTCTTGTGGAAAACAATTACAGCAATAACAGGCTACGAAATGCAGCCTGGGAAAGGCCTTGCCATCCCCTCTCCCACCATTTATCCTCAGCCATAGAGACTCTAACTGCAGGACTTCCACTGTTCCCCACCAGGTTATGGCCAAAAGCCAGGGAACTAGTATTCTTTTGTCATGGTCTCCCTGTCCTTAGCCAGCTCACTGCTACTAGAAACATATTCCCAGGAGAACTTCCTAAATTGCATATTCTAAAAGCAGTCATGGCAGTATGTGTTGCTCCCAGAACCCAGAGTGCACCTGCTCTGGAAAACAAGCCACAGGGTTCAGTTCCAGAAGCAATGTGCAGCCACCCTTGGCTGGACAACATTTGCCTACCAGCAGGCCTCAGGCAGATAAAAATCAGAGCCTTGAGGAGGCAATCTCCATAGAGACTGGAAGAGGCCAGTGTCTCAGAGTAGCCTGTCTCCAGCCACTTGCCCTTACCTGTATACTTTATACTGTGTGTGTGTGTCTGTCTGTATATCTCTGTTTGCATATTTGTGTGTCTGTGTGTGTGTTTGTGTATATATGTGTGCGTTAGTTTGCATGTGTGTGTCTGTGTGTTTGTATATGTGTGTGTGTTTGTGTGAGTTTGTGTGCATGTGTGTCTGTGTTCTGTGCGTCTATGTGTATGTTCTGTGTGTCTCTATATGTGTCTGTATGTGTCTGTGTGTCTCTGTGTACATGTGTGCATGTGCACAAACATGTATACGATGCTGAGTAAGAAATGAGACAGCATCTGGCCAAAAGTGATGTCTCCAGGGTCAAGGGCACACCTGTATCCCCTACTGATGTGCAGAAACAGCCACACCTACTGTCCCCACCCCCACCCCCACCCCCCACCCACCCCCACCCCTGTGTCTAGAATCTCCTCATGGAACTGTTCCCCGAAACTGCCAATCCCTAGCACTCTTTAAACTTCTGAAGTGTTGAAACATGGTATAAATTAAATTTGCCTTAGCGAGGGTCAGACTTCCAAGCAGATGTTCTGAAATGAAGCTGTACCTTCCTGTGAATGGCTTAAGCCCAGATGTGTGGTTCACCTAGAATGTTAGAAACATTGAGTACAGGGCTAGTGAGTCAAAGCCTGTATCAAAAGATAAACAGGTACCAGACCCCTCAGATAAGCAGGGAGCTCCTTGGAACCACCTGAGCAGCGAGAGGATCTGGTAGAAGATATTACCAGAATTGCATCCCAGACAAGAACCTCGTAGAGCTTAGAGAGAGCAACAAGACAGTTCCTGCCTGTTCCCAGAACCTGGAGATATCACCGGTGAGACCCAGATTTGTTGTCAAGTGCTTCACAGCAATTCTGGGGACTGGGGAGGGGATTCAGAAACCTCCAGCTGTCATTATGGTGAAGGCACCTGGTGTTGCTTGTGTTCAGAGAAACAGCCTCGTCTTGTGCTGCGAAGAAGCATCCTGTGGACTGAGCCTTGGAGCCGTGCTGTCTGCCCATTTGGTGTGTGTTCTGATCAGAGTCCTCTGCAGCTATGTGCAGTGGGAGAGTGAAAGCCTTTGGGGATACATCCCAGGGTCCCCACAGGCCTAGATTAGCCAACAGAAGAGGGAACACAAGCCAAGTTAGGAAAGGAAGAGAAAGGCTGATTTTGAAACCATCTCCTGTGGCTCTTTGGGCATCGTCAGGTGTGCAGTTCTTTGGCTGCTGGCCTACCTATGTCTTTATCAGGGTATACTCTTACTCCCACAGGCCCAATTTAGTGATCTCTGTCTTCACCAATGGGACACACAAGCCAGGAGAAGAAGGTCATCAGCAAGCACCACTGAGCATAAGAAGGACGCATGTTCGGAACTATCACAAGAACAGACTGAACAGGTCTTTTTACATTCAGAACTTTGTTTGATAAAGCTACATAGAAAATGGATGTGCTTATTAAGCAGAGAATGTATAGATAAATTAGTCAACTCTGTGCGGTTATCACAACATACCCAAGGCTTGGGTTTTGTTTCACACTTCTAGAGACTCACAGTATAGTGTTATCGTGTGCTGTCTCTGTGAGGACCGCCTGGCTTCATCACACCAGAGCAACTGGCAAGTGCAAAGGAACAATTAAGTAGCAGGGCAGGAAGCAAGAGGGATCGGGCATGCTCTTTTGTAAAAGGAATTATATATTCTCGCTAGCCCGTATAAAAGATACACAATCCAGGTATTTTGTTTACAACCCGTAAGCCTAGATTGGGCAGGTTTGGGAGATATTTTAACTTATACCCCAGGCCCTTGTTACTTGCTGTTTCTCCTGGCCACTCACTCATGGTCCATCTCCTTCCATGGAGGCTTCTTCCTCTCTTCCTGTCCTTTCTCTCTCTTTCCTCTCCACCTGTGACCCCAGCCAGGTAACTGAAAACCCCCCTACCTCTATCTACTGCCCAATCACAGGCTTTAGCCTTTTGATGACCAATTAACTTGGGGAGCAGGCTCACATAGCATCATTTGGTGTACATGAGGCTTTATCTTTTCCTCATTGTCAAGGGCAACCAGATCTTGGTGGAACTACTTAGCATTTGAATACATAGCATCACCAGACCAACCCCAACACTTTAAAAAAATACAAAAAAGCACTCACAGTGTTACTAGACCACTGAGAGGTTAGCATTGACCCTTTCCGAGGGTGGTGGTCCATGCCCTAGTGCTCTTGCACCAAATCTCACCTCTTAAAGATTCTACTCTCTCAGTACAGTTTCCCTGGGACTAAGAACATGAACCTTTGGGGACCTGTTCAAACCACACCCAAACCAGAGCAAACCAATCCTCTCAAATATCCAACTTTTCTCTGAGAACATTCACAACATTCAACCACAGCTGGTCTCCCGTTCACTCTTCATCTTGCGTTACTAGCCACTCAGATCCTCCCATTCTTCTGCTAAACTCTTCCACGAGGTAAATCACCAGAACCCTCCCGGGCCCTAAACGGCCAGGCATTCACTCCTTCTCGGAACAGATCACGATGTCTGCTGCTTCGCTTTGCCAGCTCTCTTAATATTTTATTCATATCCAGCTTTATCAAATTAAAAGTCTGACCCAAAGGCTCGTTGTGATCAAAGCTTGCAGAAGGACTTTGGCAGGTAGCTACAAAACACTTTCCACTTAGTGGCCCCCACTGCGTATCACTCAAAATGGTATTCCGGTCCATTAGCTGGCTGTGTATTAAAGGTTCCATCAGAGGCTGGAGGGATGGTTCGTCAGTTAATGGTGCCTACTGC